TAACTTGGGGAAGATGTGGACGTACTGCATATCCTTAGAATCTTCTGAATTTTTTTCACCATGTGACTATATCAACTACTTTGAAATTGATTATATCAAAATTAATCAAAATTAATGACAACAATAACGGTCCCTAAAGAATTTATTTTAAAACTACCGAGTTGGATTACAGTGCACTAATCTAAGAAAAAAATCACTTCTGCTTTGAAGTACTCCATTAGTTTACCTAAATCAATGCTATAAGACTCATGAAGGAAAACCAAAACCTCAAGCCTTTTTTCCTTAAAGTTAATATATTACACAGTGATGTCAAAAACAGCTTATTCCCTTAGCAAAATTTGTTCAATGGGGGAAGAAAAATAAATAAAGCAGATAAAACTAAGTGCCTTCATAATCATCCTGTTACCTACTTGGTTCAGCTGAGATTAATGATTGGTTCCCTTCACTGTGTCCACTTGGAATAGGCTTTTCTACTGTTTTCAGTTCATTCCTATCCTCCTCAACTAGGGAAGAAATCCTCACAGTATCAATGGAAAAAGAGCTTTCAAAAGTTTCAATGGTTGAACTAGCCGAGGCACTTTTGGGGACAGCACTCAAAGCCAATTCCTGGCTATTAAGTGAGGGCAGTTTAGTAAGATTACTTTCTATAGATTTAGGTATGATTTCTTCAAGCAGCTTTGGGTCCTGATGATGGTCTCCACTTGACTTCTCAAACTCGATGGATACTGTTGAGTCATTTTCTTGTCCTTTCTGAACATAAGCACACAGAAAAAATTAGCATTTTTCAAATTTAAACTATTTTTAAGATTTAGAAATATTATAACATTTCTATAACTACATGAATAGAAAACTATACAATTATACAAAATCCTGCTTGCCAGTGTCTCCCAAGTATAAAGAGAGGCTTGATGTGTCCAATCTGATGCCCAAATAATTTTTTAAAGGATGAGATGGGGAGACGTCCTTCTTTACAAGGGGTTTAGATGGTCTCACATGACCTAAGTCAATTTTAGAATGAGAAGTTGTTTTCAAAATTTTTATTTTACAAAAATAATATGGTCATGTGACCAACTACTTTAGTAACAAAAACTAAATTAGAAAAATAATAGGATACGACATTAAAAATTATTTTTAAATCAACCATTGCTTCCTACTTACTGCATAAGTCTAAATCATGTTTATAACTCAAAGACACTACAAAGTCCTAAAATGATGTATGAATCAAACAAATCAAAAAGTTGTCTTACAGTTTTATTGCTAACTATATACTAAGTCTTTGAAAATAGGAAATGTATGTATTAAGTATGGTAATTATTTTACAATAAATTCCCTAAACTCTAAACAGAACTTAAAGGATTTGGTAATTAAATTGCTACTGATAAAAATATCTGATAATAATTTTATAGATCAAGGTAAAAAAAGTAAGTGACTGAACAGTATGAATAGTATTTGGCTAAAGTAAGAAAAAAGAAAACAAGTCTGAAAGATGTATACCAAACCACTAAGAAAAGAGTGGCACTGGAGAAGGGGCAATTTTAATTTTTTACTTGCTCATAATATTTGAAATTTGTTCCAATTCCAATAACTCTGTATTACTGAAAAAAGCTACATTTAAAATATTTTTTTAAAAATAAAGCTAACAGAAAATCAAGGAACAAAGAAATCTGATAATAAAAGTAGACAGCTACAGGAAAATTATTTAACCACAGTCAACTCATTTTTATCATCGGAAAATTATTTAACCACACTCAACTCATTTTTATCATCGCATAAAATTATTTCCTATGACATCTAAATACCTCTACTTACTGTCTGTTCTGTTGACTTATCCAAAAAAGAAGAATTATGAGAATCAGGTAAATTACTTCTAAGTCTTTTTTTTGTCTTCCTGGAAATCGGAGTGGATTCCATTTTTGTATCAAAATATGTAACATCCTTATTTCTGCTCCCCCGTTCAAGATGATCACAACCTTTACTTCCACTGTTAAGATCTTAAAAAATGAGAGAAGTATAAATGTGGCCAAAAAGTAAAGAAAAAAAATTCCTTTTAAAGGAGCTTAAAGAAACATCATCAAAATTGTTATACTATTTCCAAAGCTCATTACAACAGAAATCTACTATTAAATTCTCATACTGACACTGGATAAACGTAAAGACATACCCTATTTTAATCTGTATACACAAAGTAAATGTTCGTTATACATTAGATATGAGATAAGGAAAATACATAGAGTATCCTTTTTGAGAGCAACCAAAGTAAAGCAACCAAGCTATGTTTTTCCATTTGCTTAAATGCATATTGCTATATCAAAAAAGGTCTTAATAAATACCAAAAAGGTCTTAATAACATTTTAAAAACTGGTGTCTTTAAAAAGTTTTGATGATTCACTATGATTTTATAAACTAATCTTTTTTCTAATATAGGTTGAATACATATTTATTAAATGAAAAGGCACTAAAATTTGAAAGAGTAGAGGGTTGATCACTGCTCTTTAAAAAGTAGCCAAAATACCTTTTCTTAGCAGTTGACTGTAATATGTGAAACTCACAAGGATATCAACTTGGTTGACGGTTTGTTTCTTCTTCTTGATTATCAAGACTTTGTCATTTTAAGTCTCGAATAAATCTACCACTCTACAGAAAAGTGCTTCCTTTTTAAAGTCAACATGGCATCATTTTGAAACCCACGCCAATCATTACTAAAAATGCTCCATATTTCATCAAATATATGCAGTGTATGAAAATACCTTCCAAAAGGTACCACCTCAGTAACTGAAAGTTATCCTGAACTACTCTGCTTTCCGAATCTATATCATACGAATACCAACTCAGAGTTTATATGCCGCAAATCACAAAGCAACTCCCTTAATTCACAATTTAAAACTCATTTAACACTGACAGGTCTGACATCTCCATTCACTGAAAGTTCTTCAGTACTATACCCTTCAAACTATTCTTGCTTTTACTACAGCTTCACTGACACTTAATAACTAACATTCATGAAAATGTGTCTTTGTCGTTGCTTAAAAGCAAATCACTGGAACAGGACTGAGGACAAAAACTCTAAAATAGTCAGTGCCTTTCAATTTTCAAAGAAAAGGTCCTATTAACCTTTTTAGGAAAACAAAATTCCTCCCAAATCATCAATACAACACTTAGTAAAATTTTATTTTTAATACTGTAAACTGTAAAAACATAAATATTACAGTAAAAAGATTGATGAATGGTAAGGGGCTAGAGAAAACCTCAATTAAAGAAGAATTTTCATTTAAACAATTTACTATTTGCACATCAGTCAAACCTTCTCATGGAAACAGGAATAACTTTATTATATAGATGCAAACATTGTAAAAAAAAAATAGGATTCTTATTTGTGTAATAAATATAACATAACCTGCAAATATTACTAGCATATAAAATTAAGAAAGTGACAAAATCCTGTAAACAAAAGAATAAATATTTCCAATGTTTTAACTTGGTAAAAGCAAATTCCACAAGGCAAATTTATTGTGCTACAAAAAAGAGGTATACCTATGTTTTAATTCAGAATTTCCATTAACCTATGGGTTTATATATTAAACAACTGGTATTAGACATATTCTATAAGAGAGTAAATATTGGGTGAGTTTCAAAAAAAGTCCTAGCTAATAATCTTAAAAATACTTTACCTACCAATAGTACCTTGAGGAATGCTAAAAAACTATCAAGTGTTTCTTTCAGCATGCACTTTTCCCTGATGCATGTCTAAAATTCCACTGTGATCTTGAGGTAATACTCATAGGCAAAAATCAGAAAGCTTTTTTTTTTTAATTAATATTTCAGAAAGCTTTTTAATTAAATATTTCTACTCTACCAAGGAAAGCAGTGAAATGTGAGGGCTAAAGATTGTCTTCAGAGGATCAAACAGAGATACAAACATTTATATTTTTATTTAATAAATAAAGATATAATCATCCCTCAGTATCTGTAGGGGCTTGGTTCCAGGACCCCAGAATACCAAAATCCATGGATCCTTAAGTCCTTTAACGGCGTAGTATTAGCATAAAACCTACACATAAACTTTAAATCATCTCTAGATTACTTATAATAACTAATACAACGTAAATACTATGTAAATAATTGTTATAGCATATTGTTTGTTGTATTTTTTTTTCCAAATATTTTCAGTCCAAAGACAGTTGAATTCTGGAACCCACAGAAACAGACAGTCAACTGTAATTATCTCTGGGAAGAGTTCGGTTTATAAGAAAATAAATGTCATTCATTATATGCTGACAGTACTTAGAGATTAACTGGAAGTTTATGTATACAAAGTCACAGTACACTCTACAAAGACTGCCCTCATAAGAGTTTCCACTGGTATTCTTGTACACATAAAAGTTATTAGTCTAGTTTCCTTTCAACATTTTCTCTTCTATAAAAAAGGCTACTAAAAGAATTTTTAAATAGTTGTGTTACAAGTGAAGTGTAATGAATTTTTGCTTACTATCATCAAAACATTTTTTCTTGTGAATAATTTAGAAAATCACTCAGAAAACAAAATACCTCAACTTGTTTGAAGCTATCCATAATACAAGAAAACCCCTGAAGGTATTAGTTTCACAAATGAATAATATAGTAATTTGTTTTTCTACAAGTTTCAATAAAATATTCTTAAATCTTAAGACAAAAAGGAAAAAATAAGTCAAATCATTAACCCTATATGCAGTCCTACAAACAATTTTCAGAAGTCTGGGAAGTATTTATCTTCAAATTTGCTATCATAGGCATCCTCCTAGAGTTGAGAGAAATTCTAATGAACAGAGAATGTATTTCATGGTAGGAGAATAGGCAGTGGGAGGCTAAGAATAAAAACCCAGTTAGCAATAATGTAAATATCTATGGAAACAACACTTAGAAATAGCTAAACTAACACTATAAAACTTTATAGCTACATCCTGATTATATCCCTATTCATCAGTAAATAAATCAAGTAATGCAGTGAATAAATAATAGATTTATTCAACAGTTTTCTAAGGTTCACAAACCTTTAGGCTGAGTATCAGACACTAAAAGAGAAATGTCATCATCATCACTTCGCTTATCTTTAGTGTGTGCAGCCTGCTTTGCAGAATTGGTATCCACTGGCCGTGAGCCCCTGCAAAATAAATTTGTATTATACTCTTCATGTGTGATGAGATGGGTTTAAAATTTTTTTAAGTAACTGTATTGCATTCAATTCTAATAAGACCCAAATGAATTTCGAAGTCACCTGATATATATTCAAAATAAAAATTCAATAGGTTACAAATATATTCCCACCTGGCAGACTATATAATCTGGACAGTGAAAAATACATTGAACTCAGATTTGAGAAGTAAGTGCTCCTCCTTGTTCTACCTTTATTTCAATTCCCTGTGTGTCTTCATGAAGAAAAACAGGATATCAGCATTGGAGGGTTGTGCATACGCAAAATGAGCAAAAGAGTAATACTATGAAGTAAGTTTAAAAGGTTTACAAAGTAAAATTCCAAGAACATAAGTATTCTGATAATCAAATCTACATGTAATCAAACAATTATAAGCTAAAGCTAATATTAATATATTTCAGCATGGTTTATATATCAAAAAGTAAATACAAAATAGTGTAGAAAAAAATTTTACCTACAGAGAAACTAATTTACAATCCAAGGTACTGGTAAAATATTTAAAATATAAGACTGAGTGGAAGACAAGTTTTGGAATGACAAACAATGTCATTACTAAATACTAAAACTTAGAAATACAAAATGTATTTCTAAAGTGAGTAAGTGCATATATATATAATGGTATCATGTATAAGTTACATATGAAACAAAATATAAAAACTCAGATTGGAAGAATTCAAACCTATTTAGATAGTGGACAACTCTAAGGAGGCAAAGTAATACAATCAGAAAATACAATATAAGTAAAACTTCAACTTTCTATAAAATTTGTTAAAGAAGTATAAAGTCTGAAATAAATATGGAAAACTATTGGTGACATTTATTGGTATATTAGTGATATATATTGGTATATTAGTCTCTGTACTGATATACATATTTTAAATATCACATAACTTTAAAAATATGTTATTCACAACTAAGGACACTAGCATAGGTCAAAAACAAGGATTATGAAGACCAGTAACCCATAATGTCTCCTTGTTTTGACAGAAATGATGGGGAACACTAAAAATGAGTTATATTATAAATTAAAAAGTTACAGTATCCAAACATTACCAGTGCAGTGTCATGGTTAAAGAATGTTATTGCTGCTATTACATTGTACATTGTTTTCAAATTTGCTTTGGTACAATTTTCTTGACTTTTAGATCAGAAATTAAAAGGTCAAATTTTCACTTAAAAAATAGTTTTGATTGAATCAAATCATTCTACTCTTCAACCCCCAAGAATCATCCTTGAAGGACAAGGGCATCTAAGTAACACCATACAATACAGTTTCATTTATTAACGATGAAAGACAAAAGAGAGGTCATTTTTTTCTCCCTGACAGAATTATCACTACAGCACATTAGCACTATAAACAAAGATAGAATGTGGTCTAAACTATGAAAAGATGAAATGCTTAGGCACCTCTTAGATAAGAAACAAATGGTATAATAATCATTTTGCTAGAAGCACAATGATTTAAATACATACATGATTTAATATATTTAAAGATAGCAACATTATTATAAAAATGTATTAAAGTGTGTTCCAGAATAAAGACAGACATATAGACCAATGAAAAAAAAAAGAGAACCAGCAAAAAACCCTCAAATATATGTGTGATTTCTGACAAAGGTGCTTGAACCATTCAATAGGGAAAGAACAGTCTTCAACAAAAGTGTGCTGGGAACACAGGACAGTCACATGCAAAAGAAAGAAGTTGGACTCTTACCTAACACCGTATACAAAATTAACTCAAAATGGATCAAAGACCTAAACTTAAGACAGAAATTCTTAAAACTCTTAGGAGAATATATAAGGGAAATTTTTTTTCTTGAATATAACAACCAAAGCACAGACAACAACAAAAAAGATATGCTGAATTTCATTAAAATTAAGAACTTTTTTGCATCAAAGGACACTATCAAAAGAGTAACAAATAACAATAAAAAGAGAAAAGATAATTCACAGAATGGGAGAAAGTATTTGAAAATCATGGATGTATTAAGGGATTAATATTGAGAATATATAAAGAACTCCTAAAGCTCAATAATAACAAAAAATTTAAATACTTGAATAAATATTTCTCCAAAGAAGATGTGCAAATGGCCAATTAGCATGAAAAGATGTTCAACATCACTAATCATTAGGGAAATGCAAACCCAAAATAACATATCAATTCATACAGATTAGGATGCTGCTATTATTTTCTTAAAACAACAGAAATTAACAAATGGTGGTAAATATGTGGAAAAACTGGAACTTTGTGCAGCCACTGTGGAAAAATCTAGTGGTCCCTCAAAAAGTTAAATAGGGAATTACCAAATGACAAAAAGCTAAACATAAGTACCAAGTTATCTATCAATTCCACTCCTAGATATATACCTGAAGGAATGAAAGCAGGACATGAGCAGATTCTTGTATTCCACTGTTTACTCAGCACTATTCACAATAGGCCAAAGGTGAAAACAACCCCAGTTTCCAAGAATAGAGAAAAAGAAAAATATGTAGATTCATACAATGGAACATTATTTGGCCATAAAAGGGAATGAATTTCTGATACATGCTACATACAACATGATGAACTTTGAAGACATTATACTAAGTAAACTCTTTCAGACACAAAAGAATAAATACTGTATAATTCCACTTATAGGAGGAAACTAAAATAGACAAATTCACAGACCGAAAGTAGATCAGAGACTAGCAGGAAGCGAGAGCAGGGGGAAATGGAGAGTTACTATATAATGGCAAGAGTATCTGTCTGAGATGAACAAGTTGTGGTGAAGGTTGCACAACAATACAGACAAATCTTGAGGACATTATGCTTTAAAAAAAAAAAAAAAGCCAGTAAAGACAAACACTGGGATTCCATTCACATGAGGTATTCAGAAATTATCATTTAACATGTACAGTTTCAGTTTGGAAAGACGAAAAAATTCTAGAAAAGAATGGTGGTAACAGCTGCACAAAAATGTGAATATTGTACACTTAAAAATGATTAAAGTGGCAAATTTTAGTTTATATGTATTTTACCACAATTTTTTAAATGACAAAAGGTATTAAAATAGACAATAAATTAAAGGAATAAGAGAACTGGTTCTACCAGTGTCATAATATGACACACTACAGAGTAACACCAACACAAAGTGTACTACAGACCAGCAAACGAGAATAATTTGATATATGATAAACAAGTAAATTATCTTAAGACACTGAGAAACTGAAAGCTTTTAAATTAAGTGGCAGGAAGATAATTGGGTGGCAATAGAGAGCATAAATTTAGAACTACCTCCAGTACCATAAGGTAAAATGAACTGCTGATGGATAAAAGTTAAGTTGTAAGATTTTTCTTTAACCAAACCAGCAGAAGCAAAACATCATATTTATTAGCTTTGTGGAAGGATAATTTTCTGAGAACTGAAGCAAAAAAATTACAGGGAAAAATATGGTCAGTTTCAACTATATACATGGTAGACTTTTATATATGATAAACTAAGAGCATCAAACTAAAAAGGGAAATTAAACTAAAAAATGTCATATAAGGAGAAATGCACCGGCGTCACAGTTCCCATTCAGCATGAAAGGCGCTTAGAAGTTGTCACTTCATCCTAACAAGTAAAAAACTGAATAAACTGAAAAATGAACAACTCTTCTTGGATGTGACAGAGAAGTAAGATCACAGGACAAACCACTGACCCCAAACTCTGAAAGACAAGTCAGATAAATATGGAGAATCACAATTACTAGAGCAAAACCCACAAGCAGAAACCTTCCTGGAATCAATGCTGGGTAAGAAGACCCAAATTGCCCTTCAAAAGTGATGGAGAAATGGACAAATTGCTCAGTGTACAAAAGTCTAATTTCTCAGTGTACACAAGTCTAAGAGTCAAAACCTCCAGGGTCTTATTCATAATGGAAGGCCCCCACACTTTCATGAATTTTAGCTCCAGGTTCTCACAGTGAATATCAGAGAAAAATCCCTTCATGGTTCAGCAGAGGAAGGAAAAGTAAACATTTTCAAATATGCCAAAGCAGTCTGTTCTTAGCAAGGGCTGCCCTCAAGAAAAACTATTAGCTTTTGTTTGTTTGTTTGCTTGTTTGTTTTTAAGATCCTAATCAACCTGAGGAAAGGGAAGTACTCAATTCCAGCCCTTTCTAACATTCCATGTGAAGGAAGAGAAGAAAAATTCGCAACTCCAGGACCACCTACCCTTCTATGTGGGAAAAGGGAAATCTCTAATTCCAGTCCATTCTAGAAATGCTATCCTATCTGAGCAGGCAAGATAACAAGGAGAGGTGTAAAGATAACAGGTCACACACAAAGGCTCATTAAAAGACTGAAACCTAATCATAGGACTTAGAATGTTCCCTTTCCCTCCACACCTTACCACCACATTACTAAAGGCCTTCGTACAATAGTTGCTTTTCTTTAGTACATCATGTCTGACTATCCAAAAAAATAAAACTACAGCTACACTAAAAGGAAAAACAGCTTGAAGATACAGAATAAGTACCAGAACCAGGCTCCACTGTGTCAAGAATGTCAAAATTATCAGACCAGTAATTTAAAACAAATATGATAAATATGCTAAGACCTCTAATGAATAAAGTAGACAACACGTAAGAACTGATGGGAAACGTAAGCAGAGAGATGGAAATTTTAAGAAAGAATCAAAAAGAAATAATAGAGCTCAAAACATTGTAAAAGAAATAAAAAATGCCTTTGATGGGCCTATTAGTAGACTGAACATAGGAAAGGAAAGAGTCTCTGAACTTGAGTATATATTAATTTCAAGTTCCAAAACAGGAAAAAAGACTGAAAAAATAACAAAATATTGAAGAACTTTGGGACAACTACACAAGGTGTAGCATACACATAATGGGAATACCATAAGAGAAGACAGACAGAAACAGAAGAAACATGTAAAGTAATAATGCCTGAGAATTTCCCCAAATTAAAGTCA